CTCCAGGGTACGTACTGTCCGGTCCTGGGTCCTAGCGACCGTCGCTCTGCATTGTGGTTTTAGCACCAGGCTGTTTGAGACATCTTGTTGTTTTACATTAGCAGTTCTCTACAGGTACTAATTTCAGAAATAAAAGCGTTAGTGTTTTTTTTTTTTTAAATCAAATGGCTTTCAGGCAGGAGAGAAATTTTCTCACATGAATGATTGATTGTTGAGATTGCATTTGCAGAATTAGACAAACTCATTACTTTAAGCAGCGTGAAGCCAAAAGATAACTTGTTAAAAGAACTCCAGAATTTGCTTAATCTATAGCATTCGAATGTGTGGGGGGAGAAATCCTGTGTGATAACGCAGAAGAAAAAAAAAATCACCAAAAACCTATGTAAAAATTACATTGTCTGAAGCTATCATAATGCTGCGTCATTTCAAATCATAGAACACATAAACTGTTACTGATCCTGGCTCCAGTTTGCATACTTCAAAGTAAGTTATAATGGTTGGTGGTGGGTTGACCTTGGCTGGCCACCAGGTGCCCACCAAGCCGCTCTATCACTCCCCACTCTATTACTCCCCTTCCCTAGCAGGACATGGGGGGAGAAAATAAGATGACAAAAAACTCATGGGTTGAAATAAAGACAGTTTAATAAAGAAAAGCAAAGGCCGTGCACAGATCCAAAAGAAAACAAAAAGATTTATTCTCTACTTCCCATCAGCAGGCAATGTCCAGCCACTTCCTGGGAAGTAGGGCCTCGGTACACGTAGTGGTTGCTCCAGAGGACAAACGCCTTAATAGCAAATGCCTCCCTCCCCTCCTCCTTTCTCTTAGCTTTTATTGCTGAGCACAACACCATATGGTATGGAGTCTCTCTTTGGTCAGCTTGGGACAGCTCTCCTGTCCCCTCCCAATCTCTTGCCCACCCGCAACCTACTGGACTTTGGAGGAGGGGTTTGGACAGACAGCCTTGATGCTGTGCCAAGACACTGGTGTGGTATCAACACCTTTCTAGCTACCAGTACAAAGCACAGCACTATGAGGGCTGCTATGGGGAAAATTAATTCCATCCTAGCCAGGCCCAATACATGGTTTTACTTTCTGGTAAATTTAAGAGAGTGGCATACTGGATCAAAACATTTCAGGCTGCATTGTACGAGTAGTTCCTGTTCAAAAACTAAAACATTACTGTCTTAGTAGCACCTAAATGCAAAAGTATGATATTCAGAAGTCCTCTGGCAACATCCATAACAGCAGGTCATTGTGTCCACTAGAACTATTAATGAAAATAATACCACACACATGAAAGTAAAAGGCACCATGTGGTCTTAGGTGTTCCAAGGAGAAAAATGGTTTTAGGTAATTTACACATTTTATCAATTTAGATTATTTAATGCCATGATATACCTGGATTTCACCTGGTAATATGTTTGCTTAAAGAAAAAAGGTCATCCCTTACTTTGAGTATTAGGAGTTATGCTTTCCTTTCTCTCATCCACCAGAGTGGGGGTGAGTGCTAAGTAACAAGTTTAACTTCTTCATATAAGATATAGTAGCTATGCTGCATAAAAGTAGTCAAAATTAGCATCCACTTCTTTTCTTCCAGAAGTTTAGTAGACTTGTATTGTGAGATTCATCTCACCTAATTCTAGACAGCTATGTTGCAGACTTCTCCATCTAGGCAAATTTCCCTAAGGCTACCTTTATGGAACGAAGGAGGTACTTCTAAGACATAATTCATGTCATGGGAAAATAGGTGTCTAATTGAGATGAGATGAATTGCACTCTAAAAGTGCCCATTTCTCTTCATTGACTATGAAGGCAGCCTGGGGTGATGAGCTGAACACCACTGTGTTGTTGAAATCAGTGGATGTCACTGGTTAGATGAGTTCTGTTCTTTGTGTTTCCAAAGGAAGCCACCTCCTTGAAACCCATCTGAGACTGCTGCTTACTTCAGGCAACATTTGAACCTATACTTAGTATAACGTTTGTCCGTAACGCTGTGATGAAGCAGATGAGGAAACATATGCAATTTAATTAGATTACCTTTTGAATAAGTTAAAATTTAGCTTTCTGTACTTTGATAGGGGATAACAAACACAGTGGTAGTATGTAAAGAATAGCCTCAGTGCACACGTGCCTCACTGACCAGACAGGTGTTTCTTTGTCGGCACTATTTTTCAAGCATAATATATTTACAAAAACTGATGACCCTTTAGTATTAAAAATATCCTTATAATTGCCTCCAATTGCTGGCCTGAGTTTTCATTCGGTATCATAGTTGATTCATTATTGATTTAAGTGGCAGTGCACTCATGCCATCCGGCCTCCTGTTCCAGCTGCAGCTGAGCCAGGTGAAGACATTGCAACCCCCTTTTTGGTCTGCACTACCTCCTTGGTTTCCACACTTCGTGCAATTTTTGTAGCCGAGTTAGAATAAGCCTCTGCTTTTCAAAATTTTTAAAAACTAGTCCAAATGCCTGAGTGAATTGGAAGGAATCAAGCAGCTGGGGTGCAGACAGGTGAGAGAAGATGGGGACCCAAGGCAGGCAGGTGGTGGTGAGCACCTGAGTGTTTGGGAACCGTTTTTTGTCTGGATGTGCACGACTGTTTCTCAAAAATCTATTTATGAAATGTGTATTAGTGGTATCATTTTAAGATTTGTGATTTACTGTATAATCTACAGAAGGAAAAAAATGAGATACACAGTATTTATATTTAATACTTGGTATGAATTATTACATGTAATAAAAGGTAAAGTATTTGCCTTGCATTATGGGTGTAAAAATTCCATGTACTTTTGGAATTTAGATGTGTAGGGTGTTAGGCTCTCCCTTTTCTTTTGCAGCTCTTCATTTCACTGAGTTGTGTTGGGTACCTCATAATTCAAGATAAAGTATACACAAATATTTCTGGACCTGAAGCAAATAAGCGTGTTTATACACAAATGCAAAATGTTAGCTAAGAAAGAAAGGCTACGACTCTGTTATGTAAAAAGAGGCAAAAGTGAATGGAAATGTTTTTAGCATACTTTGTAATATTCTGCCCTTTACATGTCTTTCTTTAAAAAGCCTGAAAAGAATGACACTGAATCTGGCAGCCAGAGAATCAGACCAGTATTTGAAGAAGATCCTGTTTTCCGACGGCAAACATCTTACCAACATGCAGCAGTCCACATACCAACAGATATTTATGAAGGCTGTAAGTAGCATCTGAACAAAGTGATTTTATTTTAATATTAAGCTTATTATATGTGTCCCATTCTTAAAAACAAATAACCTCCAAACACAATTTTCATCTCCATTTTCACTACAGATTTGTTGATATTGTCTTTTTTTTCTTCTTTCACTAGTACTTCAGATATGTGCTCTATTAGGCATATGATTCATCTTATGAATTAGTAGGAACCATAGTTAAAGAGGTCCATTAGGATTGGATCTGAGTTTCAGAAATGGAACTGGAGGTGAAACAAAACCCTTAGATATTCTAATTTTCCTATCCATTCTTTCTCTATGCTGTGTTCTCATTTAATAAAAACAATTCTTGACAGCTCTTCTTTACATGGTTTTGGCCTCAGGCAGAGATGAGTACTTGAAAACATTTTTGCGTATCCCAAAAGCATATACAGTTCAGGCAAATAACATGCTGTGTGAGGTGGTAGTACTTATATTGCATGCAGTGCAGTTCCAGAATTGCAGTAACAGACTTCAACAGAGAATTTGAATAAATTCCTTCTAAACTATGTGAAAAATAATTCATATATGTGTATATATATATATGCATGTACTGCTGAGGATTCTTTAATTGTATTTCCAAATTAAGTATTTAAGTTACCTTTCAAGATGAAAATAACTTCCTTTTTCTGTGCTCATCATCAAGAAAAAAATCATCCAATAAAAAGACATTTCAGCATTCAAAATGGTTGCATATCCTTAAAAAAGAGGAAGAAAAATGAGATAGGATCTGTATTTTGATGTTGTTTTTTTTTATATTTAGGGTCCTAATTTCAAGTATGCAGTCTTTCTCTTTCAAAATCTCATCAAGAGGAAAGAGACCCTAATGTGACCTGAGCCCTTTAAAATTCATGGCCATGGTTTCGTGCGTCTTATATAAATGACATGGGGATGAAAATGGAAATGTCAGTATGATGGGGGAAAGAATCATAGTAGCTCGTATTCTTATACGGTGTGCTTGACTGACAGACCTAGAGGATTATTCTGGGATTCTGGCTTTAATAAGTGGTAAAGTGCACCTTAATTGCAGGATTACAGGGAAGAGACAGGCCATTTCCTTTGCTTTTGTTTGAAGAGTATTGATACTTTGCTGTTAAAATGTTATAAAAACTTGCCTCCAATCATTAGGATATTTGTAAAAACCATGTGAACTTTGATATAAGAACGTCATCATAACAGTATGTAAAATGTTTTGTTGTTGCTTGAATTTAACATTTTAGATGGTATTCATAAGGAGACTTACGTCCCTTAAAAATACATGCTAGGTAATGTTACCGTACAGCCCATTAACCTAAAAATGAAGACAGGCTATGACTTCATTAGGAAAGGTACGACTTTAGCATCTAATGAAATGATAATAACAGACAGAAATGTACATTTTTTGAGAGAGGTAACTGCATGTGCAACACGTATGGTTCATGAGAAATTCATGATTCTTTGGGTCTGGCTATCATATTAATTACCAGAGATGTGGAAGCCTAGAAAATTACAGGGAAGACTAATTCTGTGTCAGTAAAATCCTCTTGTTGGATAGCTGGGTAACTTTTGGTTACAGATGGTGTTTTCAGAGTTAACAGCTTGAGAATACCTAAAAATCACAGACTTCGTATCACTAAACACAAAATCATCACCAGGTTGATTTTACAGTAACAAAGTTCATGTGTCATCTGAAACCCAGCAGGCAATTGGAATGTAGTCATTCACCAACAGATTTCCAAAACTACAGTTTAATTTTCTTTTCACAAGCAATATTATCTGCAAGCAATTTTTATAACACTAGAAAGAGTGATAATGGATCTTGAACACTGTTGTCATTTTTATTCCTGTTCACATGAGCTAAACTGTCATTTCTTGATAGAGGTTTCAGTGCCCACTATAGTAGGGAACAGTTTTACACTTTGAAAATAGTTTGTAATAAATCTGCAATTCCTTGACTACATCACAGTCTGCTCGTGAACATTTACAAAACAGATATTACAACAAATCCTTCTGAGAAACAATGGATGAGACACAGATTACAATTTTTTATTGCTTGGAAGCCAATTTTGTTGGACTGAGTTACACCTTGGAAAGCAGATTTAATTTTTTTCCCCCCTTATTGTGTATCTTTTGTAGGATGCCAAGAGAAACAAAGAATTGCTCTTTGGACCTCACAGAACAGGTTTCAATGACTAGATATTTGACTTGCCTACTCTTCCTTGAGATTGGTTTTTACTTCTATTGCCTCTTAAAGGCAGGTTGCTGTCTCCAGGGGAGAGGGACAATTACAGTTAGAGCCACACATGTTCCTAAATCTGAATTTTCACTTGGATCTGTGGATCATGTTTTGTCATGGTAATTATTTTTTTGCTGTATGAAGCTGGAAATTGGAGAATCACTGACTTAAGCAGTATGTTATCCATGGCATGGATATCTTCCCTATCCAGATTTCATTTTTATTGCAGTTATCAGTTATGATTTTTAAAATATGAATCACATTGAATTTCTGTCATATGTATTTCTGTCATATGAAATTCTGAATGTGTGGATCCATCCTTCATTTAGCCCTTTGAAACTGGGAAACTGGTTTAACCCGTAACTCTCTAATGGTGTGCCACCTATTTAAGCCTGACAAAATAGTATGTGCTATAAGATATTCTTTGGCTTCCTACATATACAGTGATTTGCTTATTTTGAAATACAGGGATGAGCTACTTGTGAAGAAGTCCCTTTTATTTCACCACAGAAATACATGACAAATCACTACAAAATATCCATTCACTGCATCCAGGTTATTACTTTGTGGTTTATTTGATTGCAGAAAGAAATACTATGCAAGTTATTTTTGCTTTCTTTCCTCTGTATCTGCTGCCAAAAGCTTAGCAGAGACAGGGAAAAGTCTAGGGAGTTATTTGCCTGTTTCTGAAGATTGCAGTCCCACTGCAGGAGAGGGCAATCCCAGTAAAATAGACCCAAATCAGGCTTTTAATTCAGCATTTTTCAGGAGTCCCATTTAGGTTTTGAAATAAAATCAATCCACTGCTGAAAACAGAACAGACCCTCAGGTTGTCTTTCTACCCCATGCACTGGGAATTAGTCATGCATCTCCTATTAGTAATAACAAAAGTCTTATTTCTAAATCCCCGTTAAAACTGTACCCTGCTTACACCTAAGCAGAATATGGAAACCGCAGGCCAGAGGTAAGAGGAAATCCTCGGCACAAGGTAAGTGAGGTCAAGCTGCCCAGTGGCTACCGCCACACGTTGCCCTTACTGCCTGAGGTGCATAATGCACCATCTGCTGCAATGGTTGCTCTAGATGTGTGAGTCTGTACTGGCGTTACGGTTTTAGGAAAGGTGTTAGGCAAAGCACACAAACAAGGATTGCTTTTTTTGTGTGTGGTTACTCCTGCTTTACTTCCTCTAAATCAGAAATTGCAATATTGCTTCCACATGTCACTACTTGATTAGCATTGAAGAGTTGATTAAAGTGTCAGGTTGACAGTAATGTGTCTTGAACGTGATGACATCACTTTGAATATATTTGGACAGCTACCAGCAAGAAAAAAAGGCTTCCCCTGCTCAGAACCTATTAACGCAGTCGTAATTAGAGTTACAATTAATTGATGGTTCTTACAGCTTAATAATAAAAAAACAAACATACTGTTTGTTCGTTCATACCTTCCTTTTATTAGGATGGCAGTCAAAATTTTGCTGCTCCTTAAAATCTTATAAGACATATTATTTTTTGATAGCAGGTTTGGTAACGGACAACAATTTTACCTTTCTTCTAGTCCACCATATATGTAAATATTCAGTTATTGATAAAATATAATAGTGCTTAGTACTGGGGGGCAATCAAAACTTTCAGGAATAACTTGTAAAATTCTCTTTTGATGCTACAGTGATTTTTGTCTTGACTGAAATATTATCTCTTCAACTGGAATTTTTGTACTATTGAACAATTTCTGCATATCTTGGGTATCTCAGACTTCAAGCTTGAAAGGAAGAAATATTCTTTGGGAAGAAACTTAGAAATGATGGGAAATGAAACCATGGGAGCAAGAATATTCCCCCTCCAAAAAAAAAAACAAAACAAAACAAAAACGCTCCAAAAAACTAGGAAAAAGTGCATTGTCATTTATTCATGGAAGATCTTATGTGTGGATAATAATAAGATCTATTCAGGAATCAAGATATTGATAAAGTGTTGTGTAAATATTTTGGCATGCTACATCAACATTCCTTAAACGACTAAAGGAGCAATAAAACGTTTTTGTACTTTTTTGTATTTAGTTTAAATAGCAATAACAGACAGGCAAGACAGTTTTATTAATTAAATTGCTTGGTTTGAAATATGTTAAGATTAATGCTGTTAACATATATTTTGGTTATAGCTGAGACACTGAAGCTATTCAGAACTGTTTTTCCCAAGGTTTCTTCTAACGGGTGGTTGAATAGTGTTGTTTTACTACAGCTGGGATAGAAAAATGATTGTTCCAAGTCTGTGTGTGTGTGTGTGTGTGTGTGTGTATGTATGTTCACACCTTTAAATTTGGAAATAGAAGTTGGATTATATCATTATGTACGTCTCGTGCAGATGGCATGTGAGATTACTGTTTGTTCTAATTATCTTTTTTTTAATATTTTTAATGATTTTAATCAGTGAATTATTTGTGAAAACATGTAATGAGTGAAGTGGACCTTTAAATGAATTTTCAGTGTCAGCCTCTTTTAAATACCAAACACTATGGCTTGGGGTAAGTATAAAGCAAATGTTAGTTGCAGCTAAGTCCCTAAGTACTGCCTGGTTTGTTCAATATTAAACCTGGAAGGAAAATACTGAGGCAGAATCTTAAGCAAAGAACTCTAGAGTCAGTATTGCTTTTTATATTGTGACAATTATGATTTTTTTTTCACCAAAGTAGGTTACTAAAGCTCCTTGAATGAAAATCTTTGTAAATGAGCAGAAAAAAGAAATAGCTTTTCT